AGTAGACTACTTTCAATGCGAGTCGGTGTTGTCTCCCACCAGCGCACCGTCGGGCGACGCCACGTGGGCGTTTCAGATATCCAATGACGCATCTTTCCATCTTGTCCTTATACTTCGACCATCCTCGCCTTCTGCACGCAATCATCCACCACCTAAATTCTCAATAGAAGGAATTCAAGATAAACCCAAGATAAGAGTTTTCCTCTGTGGAAGCTCTCGATAATAAACAGGGAGTCTTGACAACTACCTTGCGTATAATCGCTGACAGTAGCCTTCTTCCAGACATGGGAGCCAGTCAGTCATCAGAGGAGGTCGCTGCACCCGATGCCGCCTCCCACGACTATGTACCCACAGAAGAAGACATTAACCGCCTACGAAGTCTATTCTTCTCTGCCATCGATATTCCCGCCGAGCTCATCGAAATCATTCTCGACATGGCTGAATACTGGCCCTCCGTGCGCAGCGAACGTTTCCTTGACGTGGCAGTAAAGTCTGCGCGAAGGGAAGGCAGCCCATATCCCACGGCAGAGTGGTGCTACCTCGTATCGCCGCGTGTGCCCTCCCATGCCAAGTTTGTGAAAGCGATCACGATTCAGACGGAGAGCTGCGATCAAGGATGGGGCGGGGAGCCTGAACATCGTGGTAAAGGCGCTGTATACATAGACAGCGGCTAACGTACTGACCTATCTTTAATACAGGCACTTATAACGGGTCTTGGACGTGGTTTGAAGCGGCGATAATTCGCTCAGACGATGACAGTATTCCCTGGTGGGTTTCCGGAGTTGAGAGGAGCCTGCCCGTAGATCTCTACAGAGAAGGACTCGATCGGTCTGCAGCAGAGCGCGACGCCGCCTTGTCTTGCGAAGTACGGCTCCCTGATTTAGATCGTTCACGTTGGCATGTTACCTCGAATCTCACGGCAGTGAAGACGTACAAGGAGAACGTCGTGCACTGGACAGCAGAGGATCTAAAGGACATCGATGACGATATTCCTCCTGGTCACCGTCATGCTAGGGGTATATATGGAAGAGAGGCAGATTTTGTCAATTTGATGCAGAGCGGCGACCGTGTTGCGTTGCTTGTCATGACCAAGGCGAGCGAGCCATGAATATAGTTTGCCTCTTCTGATGCAAATCATAGTTTCCAATGTGGACAAACAATATCCGGCAGGCGTCCATAACTGTTCACTACTCGATTTAGCGTGTACATCGTTGGGGACGATTGGACTTTAGATTCCCACAATTGTACAACTTCCTTTGCTGGTAGTCCTTGTGCCTTCGGGATCGAAACTGAAGAGGAAGATGCACCTTGTCAGCGCCCTTTGGTCGACTGTTCTTACAACTTGTCCCGCTTGCATTTTTGAGTTCTTGGAAACGAGCAGGTCCCTCTTCGCACTTGGAATGTCACTGATTGGTCAACATTACGAACGATTATGATCAATGGGTCCCACAAGAACGATGCTACCTGACAAGGTGAGAGGCGTCTACAGCTTCATGCAGCGCATCGCGAGTCGAAACCTCTATGGCAACAGTACAGGAGTTTTACAACCATCCCGTGTTATCCGAACATGCTGTAAGACCTCAAGTCGGTAGTTCAAAAAGCAATGATGTATATTCGCCTCACACTAGTGGTATCATCTCACTTGAGAAAACTTGTGTTTCAACTCCTCACAGATCTCATCATTTATCCGCAATTGAAGTAATTCCCGTCTATGACGCGCGGGCATCCGCAGTGTCTACAACGTTCACAGATGAGTTTCATTTGCGAATCAGCATTGAATTCACGTACCTTTATTCGTAGGACAATCTGCTGGATCATCGCAGCACCTAATACACGCGCGCGGGCCTCGTGGCTCGACGAGCTCGACGTAGTGGTTGTACCTAAAATGACCGGGACAAGATCAGCGAAGATGATACAGAACTGCGCGAACGCGACGTACCCAAGGCAAACACTTCCTTGTGGGTTTCCCTGTCCCTTGGATCCACCACTCGAATCGTACTGACCTCCCGCGTCGCTTGGAACGAGTCGATCCAACTTGTTCGAATTGATGCATCCTGTTACTATAGTACTCGTTAGCTCTCTCCTCCGATGGCTGACCAGCAACCTACATTGGGTGTAGCGTTTCCCGTTCTTGCCTGTCGCAGATTTGAATGCGACTTGGCCTTCTCGCCAAAAGTCTGCGGGTAGGTATCCCTGCTTAGGGTCTGTATGTCCGTGCGGTGAACAGTACGTCTGCATCCCGCCTGGATGCTCGCTGTCGCCGATTGATGTGTGCGCCGTGCGCGGGACGATGAGACTGGATTGTTGAATCAGATGATGCCGCGGTGACGAGTGTTAGTGGGAAGAAGCGTACCAAAATTTGTCAACACTGGTGACATCCACAATATTGTCAGGCGCTGCACTCGGGCCAGCATAGGAGCTGGAAGTAGCAGACAATAGTGCAAGAGCATATATCGGGAGTTTGTGGAATGAGGACATGTTGGGTGATGGCGAAGTCCTCTGACGAGGGCTTTTAAAGTCGATGAGGTTCGGACTAAGACGAGACTGTCTTGCGCTATCAAACCTGGACATGGGAAGGGGCTAGCTGGAGAAGGCGGCGTACTGATTCGGCCACTACAGAAGGCCGTGGTGAACGAGACAGGTTCCACAAGGAGAACCATTAGATGAGCGCAAGTAGGTGCGTTAAGAGTAGTTTCTTTGCCCTTAGCAGTGAGACCGTCGCGCGTTTGGAAGCCGGTGGTGAAACTTTACCAGAGCTGTGTGGGGCGAGCTAAGAAGTCTTCCCTGAATGCCTCCTACGTCAATGTGTGTTAGACGTGTGAGCAATTTCAGGAAAGAATCGAGGGAGGTAGAGAGCACTGAACGATGATTGGAAGGAAGTCGCGCTGTTCGGCTTGATCGTAACTCCCACGCCATTCCGTTCTTACAACGGACCTCGGATTGTACGTCGAGTCGGGACGGTCCAAGACGTGACTTTCTTGTGCCATTAGACCTGGACATGGGAAGGGCTAGCTGCTGAAGGCGGTGTCCACCAACAAAGGCTGTCAAGAAAAGAACCCTACGATCAGCAGAAGTAATAAGGAGTAATTTCCTTCCTGAATCGAAGCTGGCAAGAGCACTACTGAGTTAGACCGGTAAAACACGCGTAGACGGCAGACCACAACCAAACGCTGGATGGAACCCGGATCGGTTACAGGAGAGGAGCTGAGTGACAATAGTCCAGATCGATTGATTGCATTTCCGGGTAGGACACCGCGAAATATCGAACATTATCTCTAGGCTACCACGCTTGATCGCGAGCACGTTGGGTCAACACATAAGACTTGACCGGGCTGTATACGCTATGATGGAAATAGTCCTTCTTGGATAGACGTGATAACTGCAGTGCTGGTGAAATGACTTCCGTTGACCGTCGGAGCGCACTCATCAACGCGGCGCTCAGATACCGCGGCAGGAGTCGATGGCGTTGTGTCGTACATCTTTTGCGAACTCTTGGGCGCGTTTTAATTTGCATGGCTTCAAGTTCAACTCCCCGTGAAGCCGATGAATATAATCCTACACTCAGGTTAACACCATAGCCGAAGACCAGAAGCGTGCTTACCAAGTCATTACGAGGCTAGGAGTCTTGTAAACTGACGCGCAGGCCTCAACGGGAAGTTGTATACCAGAACACGGCATTCTTTTTTTTGCGGGACAACGTTAGTGCACATCAGCTGCCTTCACACACCCGAGGCAATTTGGTCTTGTGATGGAGCCACATCAGCTTGAACCAACGCGTATATGCCGCTGCACTTTTCAAGAATCCGGTTACTATACGCCAGAAATTAAGGGCAATGGATGCATGTATTAGTGGCGGATCGAGGGAGATGCAAACCAGAACGCGGTCCAGCGCAGTTGATGTTGATTTCTAACGTCAACGCGCGTTACGCGTGCTTGGCTCCAACGGTATAGTCACGTTGAGCGGGTATGGCGTTGCTTCGCTGCGACGAAAAGGTCAAATGCCTATCAGGTGTTTAACACGCGAACTGCAGATATTGAAAATAATGATCCTGTGATTTGAACCCATACTGCACCCAAGCATATATCCCGCTGAGCTACACAATCATAGTAAGGAACCGGGCGAGCACAAGCGCGCCCATGCATGCAAGAAACCCCCAGGTTGTATGCGCCAGACATTACTGGCAGGGGTAACAAAAATTAGCGGCGGATCTAGGTAGATGGAAGCTAGAACGAACAGGTCTTTGCGGGGTATCAGATGGCGGGTGTGTGGAACGAGGATAGGAACAGACCATCCGCTATGAACAGTGTTCTGATTTGAACAACTTATAACCTGGCCCGAAATGAGATTAAAGAAATAAAAGGCACCGATGGAGACGTACCTCCCCCTTCGAGATACGAATCCATGGCACTAAAAGCATAGCGCTTTAACTCCCTTTCTAGCAGCCAGGCATCGTCGCAGGTCACGAAGCCGCAATCATGCAGGACGCAGATCGCCTCGATGAACCAGAGCCGCGAGCTGAATTCTGCGGGGTGTGTGTTGCTCGTGTCGACGGTATTGAACGTGGCGGTGAGCTCCTGGACGACGTCTGCGAAGCTGCCAAGGCCGTGGAGGTCGGCGAGGCGGACCATAGCCACGGCCTCGGCGCACTGGTGAAAGTCGGCCGAGTTCTCCATTGCAAAGGCCCAGCGCCCCGCCGAGCCTTGGGTGGTGTGGAACAGGGATCCGAGGGCGCCGATGGGTGTTTTGGCGGCATCGGGGACGAAAAAGGCCCAGTCCCAGGTGGTGTAGTCGCCGCGAAAGAGGAGGACAGCGTAGAGGCTGCCGCCGTCGAGAGATGGCCGCGAAATTTCCTCCGGTGGCGCGTCGCTGGCCATCGCGCTCGACGTCGTTGTGGCCGTCATGAACAGAGGAGATGATCCTGAGGTACAGGCACTCTATCGATCGAGCGTCATTTCAAATTATTGACAGCTCGTGGGTACGCACTGCGTAGCGTATGACATCCCTCTTAGCTCAGTGGTAGAGCGCGTCACTAGTACACATATTCAATTTATTCGATGACGAGCTCAGTCGTTCAAGTCGGCTAGAGGGAATGCAGTGAATCTCTTTAACATTTTACAACCTGCTTGGACCTTTTGCTAACATTCAGGGTTAGGGTTGCGCAGGATATTCACCAAGGCGGTTACTAACGTCGGCGGGATATACCCACATTTTGGGGGGTGTTACTAACAGTTAGTAACTGTTAATAACCTCCACGTGATGCATTGTGGCGTATTTTCCCGGTCTGAGGCATATTTTTCTTTTCCAGCCCTCAAAAACCTCTCTAGTGGCCTCAAAATGGTCTAATTTGAGTTCTACTGATCTTCTGATGTATCTAGGTGGTCCCGCAGCTCATTACCGGCCCTCTTGCCTACAAATCACCCTCCTCTTCACCGATCCCGCCCAGACGCGCCCCGCCTGCTCACATGACTGCATCATGTGACAGGTTAATAACCGCCCGAAACTTACGGGTGTTAATAACTCGGTTATTAACTGTTATTAACCGGTTAAATATCGAACGGCGCGATATTCGAGGTATCCTGCGCAACCCTATTCAGGGTCGGGCCCGCCGCCCGTCCCGGTGACTAGGACGTTGATAGGTTCGTTTTTGGTTGAATCCTTCGTGTCCTCATCACGCTGTCGTACCGGCTATGGAGTTATGTGCGGGGGCACGCGTTATTGTCCGTATGGCGCACTGCACAAGACCCTCATTCGAACCGTTCCTTCAGTAACAGACATGATCTAGACATCCTTATTATTGATATCAGATTGATTCGAATGCGAGGCAACTTGAACCCGAACAAAAACGCACACGACTAAGCGGGCCCTAGGATTTACGCCACAGAGTAAAGGCCATCTATGCCGCGGCGCTCGCTGGGCTCGCGGAGTATTTGATCATTTTCTGGCTGGTCAATGAAACTTATTCCGGGCATACTACGCGCGGCGTCTACGAAAAGTCCGATTTCCTCACGGCGCATACATCCTGCTCCAGTTGGAGCTTTCTAGCCTCATGAATGCGACGGTCAAACTTCAGACACCCGTTCGCTATTGTTTGGTACTTAAAGGCAAATGTATATGTCCGCGTCTCTAGAGAACGATACCTTTCCGACTCGAATCTCGACTTGATCTCGACCGCAGAAGCGTAGCGCCGTTATATGTCCGTGTTCGATCAAGGTTATCATATATCATGATGGACGGCGTTGAGATTGACGCGCTGCGCAGGTTAGCGAGATGAAGGTACGGAATCGGGATCTACGTACAGGAAAGGCTCTTGGCGCCGCCGCCGAGCTAAAGTAGCGAGACTGGCTACAGCTGGGAGCAGTGTCGTAAGGGATGGCGCGACTAGTCCAAGACTAATTAAGCTCATGATGGTCAATGATGGAAGATGAGTGAATGAGGATCGAAGACAGTGTAAGTTTCTAGTTTCTCTTTTGAAGGAGTACAAGAGTCAATCGTTGCACTGGAAAGTTACCCGACATTCCACAGTGAATGCGAAGTTGTCGATGACGTTCATCTCCATGGAGTCAACGAGGGCGCGGATTTATATACCGTCAATAATACAGTCTTCGCTGTTTCCCGGACAGATTGAATATAATTGACGGCAATCAGTGGCGCTCAGGACACCTTTGCTGGTTCGAGCTCTATTTACGTTAGACGCCCTTTTTCCTCTCATTCTACGACATTCGAAATACTCAGCGTACGGCAAGGACAGGGCAACATGTCGTCCAACATCACCAGTTTCGTCATTCAACTCGCGCAAGGAACAATGGATTCCAAATGCGGCAGTCTTTTCCCATGGGTCATTGACGGCTAACATACGGTGCGGAAGCAATAACGATTTCTCACAAATTCTCCGAGGACGACGACAACCACGAAAGCCTTGAGCTCGTCGTGTACGACAGTGACGGCGACGACTCGTGCGATGGCTGGATTCCTTCGCAAAAAGTCGAAACAAAAGCCTGCACCCAATGACACCCCTGCAGCCCCTCCTGCTCCGTCCGCGCCAAACGTGTCGGCGCCGACCCCATTATATGCACGGCTCGCGGGAGGTTCAGCTGCGCAGACGCAGATAGCACCGACGGCGGCTAGGATCGTGTCGGGGCCAATGGCACTGGGAAAACGGGAATCAGTATCGCATCCGCGAAGTACCGCTTCAGGAGCGCGAAGGAACGTAACTGGGCCTGCTGCATCGTCGACGTCGGTCGCGACAACGAAGAGCAGCAAATATGGCGTGACGGAGACGATGGGCGACGCGGCATTTGGCGACACGAGTCCTCCCCCTGCTTGGCGGCAGCCTGTGAGGGGCAACACGTCGGCTGCCGCATCGTCGACGTCGCTCGCAACGATGAGGACAGTCACGGAGACGTCTCTGGGACCAGCATTTGGCGATGACGCACCACCACCACCTCCATCCAACAAGGAGAAACCGCTACCAAAGGTATATCCCCCACGCGAACCCAATAACCTGTTTTCGTCCGTGTCCCCCAGTCGGCAGTTTTCGAACCGAGTGGTGCCTCTGGAAACCTACAATTCCCGTACGACTACGTCAGGGCAGGTCTCTGATACTTCAGCCGACCTACGAACGTTTGGTACATCCGTGTCCATTCCCTCGTCCTCTGTACTACCGCCTGCTGATCCGGAAAAGCCGCTATTTCCGCACGAATCGTTATTTTCTACGCCAAAGGCCCGACCAATACCCACACCTGATCGCAAAGTATCTCTGAATGCTCACCAGCCGTGTATACCAATGCCCCCGAGCCCACCACAGCGCAGGCCGCCACACGAGGTAAGCGGATAAATTTTCGAATTTCTTCTTTTTCTCGAGCCAGTCTCCTTTGAGGCGTCCCCTTGTCCGGCACTTGAACATGCGCGGTTAGACTTCGCGGTCGGTGATCTGCGCGAACCCGACGTAATAGTCCACGCGTTCTGCACTTAACTTTGTTGCGATTTTCCGTCACCCAACCTTTACTTATCTCGCCTCCTCAGGTCGACTCTATAGCGGGCCTTCAGCCACCTCTTACCCGATCAGACACGGTGCGTTTTTGACGTCACCCACGCCCTCTCGCGCTAATTTTCTCTTTGCTATAAAGTCCGAACACTCCCAGGCCGTAATACCCCAAAACATCTCTCATTCAAACAGCATGTCGACCACGACTACCACAACCATGTCTCCTACCGCCTACCACATGAACGGCCCACCTCGCAAATCCAACAGTCAGCGCTCGCTTGCTGCTCCTGCCCGAGGAAAGCCACTCATCTTTGCGGCAATGACGACCATTCCTCAGCCCCAACCCAAGCCATACCAGAACGCATACCCTCAGAACGTTTACGCATCTCCTCCCCAGCAGCAGCGCGTATACCACCCTCCATACCCGAATTCGTATCCCACTCCTCCGGCAGAGTATTCTCAGCCAAGGTCGCGCCAGAAGACATACCCTCCTCCTTCTCCGAATCCATATTCCTCCATACCGTCGGAAAATTCCCATCCACCTGTCGCCATGCATCAGCACCTCAATTCATCGACGGCTTCCCTTCCTCGGTATCGTAACGGTGCTTCGCCTACGGACAATGACCCTCCCCGACCGTCTTCGCGTGACGCATATCCCAATGGCAGTCTCAACGGTCACGGGCACGGGCAGACAGCTCGCATGGAAACGCATCCGCCTGTTTCACTACAGAATACCACTCCTCCGCGGGCGGCCCACGCAAAGGCCCCATCGCGTACGCCATCGGATGCATCCATATCCGTCAATAACATGACATCTCGTCGCCTGTACAAACAACGTCCCGTTACCCCTGAAGAGTCGCGGGGCACTGCAGACGTGCCCTTCTTTTCTGATGACCCGTTTGCCAAGGTGGAGGGTGTGAAGATGCTTCCTCCCAAACCTAGTTCGAGTAAGGGCAAGGAGAGAGCGATCTCCCGACCTGTCACTCCCGAGGTTGCACGTCCCGTTACGCCTGCACGACCTGTTACCCCAGAAGTCCCACGGGCTGCTACGCCCGAAGTTGTACGCCCAGTCACTCCGCCGCCTGCGCCACGCGCTCCTCCGACACCTCCTTCGCCTGATGATTATAAACGTGTCCGTCGAGGTCATGTTTTGGAAAAGTCGCCGCCGCAGGCCCTCGCGGCATTACCTGTCAAAGAGGATCGACCTCCAGAACCCTTCCTTCTGGACGTGTTCCTCTCTCATGCGGGTATCCTTGCCGCGCTGCTTCCGTATCTATCCTTCTACGAATGGCTGGTTCTGAGCAGCGTCACAAAGAAGATCAGGAGTGTGACCAGCGCGAAGGGTGATGCAGACCTGAAGGAAGTCATTCTAGAAAGGTACTTGAAGACTGTCGGGTACTCGAGATGGTTGTGGGGTTCCAATGAACCATTGGTTCTGACACTCGAGGTGGGTTACTAACCTGCTTGTGACAGGATACATGGCTGATGAATTCCATTTAGGACTTGTACAATTACATGCGGGGCGTCACTCTACCGACGCACGAGTATGCACGGACAGCGCAGACATTTGTGCAGACTCACGCGAGCCGGCGGGAGCGTGCCCTTATCGACGACGTGCAGCATCTTACGGCGGCAACGCGTGCATATACACGCGTGGTCCTTCGGTTGCGCGCGCAGGCGGAGAAGGAGACTTCACGCTCTACAGCACACAGCCCGTCGTCGCGTACACGTTCGCGTGCTTCGAGCCGGGCGCCTTCACCCACCTTTTCGTATTCGACGCATGGACATCGGCCCCCAACACCGATTAACCACGGCTTCAAGTCGCCATTGTTCAGGCTGCGCCGCGCGCCGCTGTTGAGGTGTTTTGTGCCGAGTCCGGACGGGGACTGGTTAAGCGACGCGAGTGTGCTGGAGTGCGAAGCCGAGCTCAAGCGCGCGGGTGTATTGCACCTCATGCGCGTTGGCGACGTGGTTTGGGATGTCGCGGTGGGCGACGAGGGGAATGTAGGACGACTGGTGTGGGATGGGAGCTATCTCATTGTTTGTCGTCTTTCTCTGTCATAAGGTGCACCAACTCATACTCTCATCGTTAGGATCTGGATTACA